GGGTGAGCGCAATTCTCCCCCACACAGTGGGGATTCGTGAGTAGGCGTCCTTCTATGAGAAGTTTGGGTGCAAGACTCTTACCGGTGAGTCGGCCTGATGTATTTTCACTTTATTCTTTGCTTTATATTTTAATCTTATCGTTATATGATCTAATCCCTCTTTGTTGATAGGTCAGAGAGTGCGAAGGACGAAAGCTCCTCCGCTTGCATTCCATCAACCTGCACCCCCTATTCGACTTGCGTCGAGGGCTGCTGCCCGGCCTGCACCAAGAGCTACTGCCTGCGGCCGAAGCTGTGCATGCGGAGGTTACTCCCCAGCCAAAGACTCCGATTCTCGCATTCCGTTCAGTGGGCGAATCCTCCTGTGTTGGTAGCGGAGAGGCCTCGTCGAAGAGACGACGGGTGGTATTGGAAGAAGCTTCTCCAGTCGAAACATCTTCGAAGGGCGACCTTGCTTCGGCGGTGCTCGAAACTGGTGGTGATACCAACCCTGCTAGGCCGTTGTGAGCGTTCAAGGGGCTAGTGTGGCGGAGAGGCGGAGTTGCGAGGCTGTCGTTGCTGTTTCGGGCGGCCCTTCGACATCTCGGCAGAACCGCGCTCCTTCTTCGGCCAATGAGAGTGGGAAAGGTGCCGTGATTGAGGATTATGAGTCTGAATCCGACATCGATCCTGAGGACATGAGGATATTTGAGGAGGGCTTTACTCGAACTGTGGTAAGAGCGGAAGGCCCTTCCCAAGTACTCAAAATTCCGTCGGATCTCAATCTACTGCAAGACACGGTGGATCTGGTGTCGCAGTTTGAGCTTCTGTGTTCTGCCACTGAAAGCGGAGCTCTTCAGGATGTTAGCTACTCCGAGCTATCACGTGGTGTGGCCGCGATGGGCCTAAGGGTGAGTTCCTCTTTATTTCCTTAGTTTCGTAATCTCTTTGATTTTACACTGACCCTTTCTTGCCCCTCTCCCCCTTTTTTTAGACTTACATGCTAGAGGTTGAGAGTGTTCGTAGGGCTAAGACGCGGGCGGAGATCTTTTTGAAAATGGCCGAGAAGTATCAGCGATATCGCAACAAATGCTGGGAGATGCATGAGCAGCTAAGAGCGGGTATGGGATCCCAATCTATCAAGGAGGAGTTGGAGAGAAGGGATGAGGAACCGATGCGGTCCATCTGCAGATGCAGCGAGCTTGAGGAGCAACTTCATGTCAAGGATGAAGAGCTTGAGGTGGGCAAAGGGGTTGCCGCGGAATGCGAGGACCTTCAGGCGAAGGTGTCGTCTCTACGAGCTGAACTTGAGCAAAATGCTACTAAGGTCGAAGCTCTGAGCGCAGAATGGACAGAGAAGGTGGACGAACTGGAAAAGAAAGTGCCCGATATGGAGAGAGCCGAGAACGCTCGAGTATCGGCTTTGGCGAGGGCGGCGGCACTAGAGGATACTATCTGTGTCCTCCGGTCCGCGCAGGAGTCTAAGAGAGCAACGGCTATGCTAAGGGAGGCACGGCTCGAGGAGCGAATTGGTGAACTTGAACGAGACACTTCGATCTTAGGAGACCGAGTTGTGGCTCTTGAAGCTGAGAATGCGCAGTTATTGGCTCAAGCTCCTTCTCAAGAGTCTGATTCGGCCACTGTTCCCCGCCGCCTGTATGAGCTATGGGTCCATGCCGAGGCCCAACGTGATATATACAAGGGTTTATAGGAGGCAGGGAATGTCTCATAGGCCGCCTTTGAAGATGCTCGGGCAAAGGCACATGAGGCTCGCACCGCCGGAGGCTGGAGAGGGCGTTGATGTCGAGGATGGGCTCCCTTCTGATGATGAGGATGTTGGGGAAAACGGCGGTGGGAAAGACACTAAGTGAAGCTTTTGCTGCAACCTTTGTACTTAAACTTTTTTTATTTTCATCTTCTTCCTGAGGGCCCGTTTCGGCCTTTTGTAGGGTGCGGTTGTTGCACATGTATACTTGAATGAAATAGTTGCTTCGCCTTTGTTTGTGTATCTTTTGATTTTCTGTGATGAGTCCCTGATTTTCTTTTTAATTGGGAATCCGACCTTGCCTGGATCGCGTAGGATCTCATCGTATGAGTCCGAATGAAGTCACTTTGGATGCCGGTTCGGGCGAAGTTTACTTCCGATGTGTCAACTTAGGCAGAACCGACCTTAATTCAAACGAGGTCGAATTTAGACTCGCCATTTTGGGCGAAGTCCATTTCTATGATATATGAACGAGGTCGAATTTGGAGTCGTCGTCTTGGGTGAAGTCAATTTCTGACTTATGTATTCGAACGAGGTCGAATTTGGAGTCGCTGTCTTGGGCGAAGTCAATTTCTGACTTATTTATTTGAACGAGGTCGAATTTGGAGTCGCCGTCTTGGGCGAAGTCAATTTCTGACTTATGTATTCGAACGAGGTCGAATTTGGAGTCGCCGTCTTGGACGAAGTCAATTTCTGACTTATGTATTCGAACGAGGCCGAATTTGGAGTCGCCGTCTTGGGCGAAGTCAATTTTTGACTTATGTATTCGAATGAGGTCGAATTTGGAGTCGCCGTCTTGTGCGAAGTCAATTTCTGACTTATATATTTGAACGAGGTCGAATTTTCCTTTCATTTGGCGATGGCCGATGGCCGTAGGGGTGTCAGTTCGAGCGAGATTAGAATTTTAGCCCGTTGTAATTTCAAACGAGGTCGAATTTTCCTCTCAATTGGCGATGGCCGATGGCCGTAGGGGTGTTAGTTCGAGCGAGGTCGAAACTGTAACCCGTTGTATTATTTTCATTGGAGAACATTGCTTGTTGCCATGTCGTTTACGCGCGCGTCGGGGCAAGTCCCGGTTCGCTCAATTTTTCTTTCATTGGAGAATACCGTGTGTTTCATGCACGAGTCCCAGTTTGCTTAACTTTGTTTTCATTGGAGGATGCCGTGTGTTTCATGGGTGAGTCCCAGTTTGCTTAAATTTGCTTTCATTGGAGATTGTTTTTCAATAATCGACCTGTGCCGAGCCGTTTTTGTTATTTGTAATATGGTGCGGCTCTAAGGGTTTTGCTAGGTCGTTACTCGCGAGATGGCATGGTACGGAACCTTTTCGTAGGGTGTTTTGGCGGCGTTGCTCCTTGTTCGCATACCTATGGGAGTGCTCGTGTTCCTGTTTTGAACCAACAAAAGAGTGTGATAAGATAAACCCGAATGAAATTATTTGTTACCTTGGCCTGGCAAGTCGGTGAAAGGAGAAGCGGCGTTGTAGGGTTACTCGCTTCGCCTTGTACTCGAATGGTGGTTTCACATTTGGCATCCACATTTGGCTTCGCCATTAATCGCGTCTAGACTTCTCATAAGTTGGGCTTACCTCACTCGTTGGGATACCGAGGCCTAGTCCCAATTCTACCCCGTCCGATATACGCAAAAAATAAGGGAAACATGTCATACTTTGTTCATAAATCGTCCGGTGCGTGTGGGTACGAAAATAAGGCAGGGTATGCCCACTATTTCGAAGGATCACACAGTAGGCTATTTTCCCTCCCTAAGAGGTGGAAGCACAGGCAGGTATACAAGGTGAATACGTCAAAAGGGATTGCGGTCATGCCAAGCGCATAGTGACCATGATTCTACTTTAAACACATATATGACGTGCCTAACCCATCACTACAGGTGAGGCGTGGGCCTCGCATAAACATCAGCCACAATTTCTATTTTACGTAGAGATCTGACCTAGATTGGTACGGTTACCCCAAAAGCTGATCTACCATTCTTTTCGAGTTCGTGTTCATACCGAGATGGTGAGGTTGTGACGGCCTGGAAGTAATACTCGGCTAGTTCTAGATCTAAAGGGAACTAAAATATTTGGCTAAAAAATCTCAACAGACGACGCTAAATTGTTTGACCAAAAAGTGTTGAGCCTTTTAGTTAAACTAATTAATAAAGAAAATAGAGGATAAATCTTAGTCAAACATAATTAACTTTAGATCTAAAGATATTGAATATGAGAATCACATGAAACCAAACTTGTACAACATTCCTTAGGATATTAAAGAACATTAAATGTAAATGATAAGCTTACATCTTTGACACCAAATTATTTTGTATCTGAGACAACGAAGAAGAAAGAGAATGAATCTCGTTGAGTGCTAAGAGATCTATCTTTATCGATTCAATAATATTGATTACAAAAGCTTGTAACCAAAATCTAGACTTCTACTTTGTTGTTGGAGGTTTCCTCCAATTCTTCTGTTCCTTTTTCCCTTCTAGGACAACCCCCTTTTTCTTGCTTTCTTCTGTCATATATATATATATATATATATATATATATATATATATATATATATATATATATATATATATATATATATATATATATATAAATATTGTCATCTTCCCCTTTGCCCAACAGTCTTTAAGCAGCATACTCCTACTTGACCATACCCCTCTTTACTCGCTCAAGCGTGACTGCATATATTCTGCAGTACAAGCCTTTCAATGGCTCGATCCCGACAGTGGCCGAGGCACTTGTCGCCATTACGCCTTGCGGGTACGTCCGTGGCTTGGTCGACCCTTTTCCATTCCCTTTAATGATAATCCATTTGTGATCAGATTTTGACCCATACAAATACGATACAATACAATAGATAACAACCATCCAAACTAGGTGTTAAAGCGAAATCAAGATTGATAACAAACTCAACAAAATTCAAAATTAGTGATAATTTATATAGCCGACCCTAACTTGTTTGGAACTGAAGCTAGTGTCATTGTTGTTGTTATATTCCAACTTCACAAATTGTTTTAAGGGCATATTGGATTCCTCCCCGCAGGCCCTCCAAAGTGAAATTCAGGTTTTTCAACATAATAATAATAAAGAAAATTGATACAATACAATAGATAACAACCATCCAAACCAGCTGTTAAAGCGAAATCAAGATTGATAATAAACTCAACAAAATTCAAAATTAGTGGCAACTCATATAGCCGACCCCAACTTGTCTGCAACTGAAGCGAGCATCATTGTTAACAATGTGTTTTAAGGGCATATTGGATTCCTTCCCGGACCTCCAAAATGAAATTCAGGTTCTTCAACATAATCACCCATATACTGAGTACGATAACAATCATATTCCTCAGAATAAGCATCAACATATTCTGGAAATCTCAACTCCATTGAATTTTGAAGAACTCTCATTCTTTTCATAAATCCTGTATTTGCATATATAAAAAAAGGAAAAGCTCCACTTCCCATTTGTGTTTTAGTATGTGGATGTGTCCCTACTTTGCTGCTATAAACTTCACCACCCCATTGAACTGTTTCTGCATGGTATTTTAGCCCACCTTCAAATATCTCTGATGGCCAATATCCTATGTTTATTTTTTCTCCATATTGTAGCCACCAGTTGCTTGTATTTAAATCCTAATTATTAGGTGAAAAATAAGGAGAAATTATAAGATCAAAGAAAAAAAGAGTCATTGTCAAATGTGAGCAAGTTATCTATATTCGTAAAGCAAGGCAGCCAGGTGCACTAAGCTTCCGCTATGCGCAGGATCCAGGGAAGGGCCGGACCACAAGAGCCTATCGTACGCAACCTTACCTTGCATTTCTGCAAGAGGCTGTTTTCACGGCTCGAAGCCGTGACCTCCTGGTCACATGGCAGCAACTTTATCAGTTACGCCAAGACATGTAAATTAAATTAATACAACAACAAGAACAATAACAACAAACCCAGTATATTCCTACAAGTAGTCTCCGGGGAGGTAGATAATACACAGGCCTTACCCCTACAGTGAATGTAGAGAGGCTGTTTCAAGTAGGCCCTCGGCTTGAGGAACATGAGAAAAGAGCAATAGCAACCAGCAACAACGAGAACAAGATAAAAGTAATTTAAATTAATAATATTTTTTTTTACTTGATTTTGGATATGCATGCGTACGAGAAATAAGTCAAGAATGATTTAATGAACTTAATGATATATATTTTTAGTACTAGATATAATTGACAATTGTTGTTCTATTTTTTTTAGTAATTACCCTTATCAGATTTGCTATGAAAAATAACCTATTATTGTAGGTCAACACAACCTTATGATATCAAAATTTATACATCGTCATTGACTCATGCGTGGAACTTAACTCTAGATGTAATAAAAAAGTAAGTTATGTGTAAATATCATTTTTATACTATCGAGTTAAGTACTAGACCTATAAATAGTAGGCAACTTTTCATAGCAAACCTTATATGATAACCTGCTATGCTCAATTAAATTACGTTGATAGTATAAAATTATTACATTGTCAATATATATAACTTAAGTTCATAATATAATATACCTCGGCATGAATTTGCAAAACCATCCAAGAAACTTGATAAATTAAATTAAGACTCATGTTTGTGTCAAATGCAAGCAAACCATTCTTATTTGAAAAAGAAAAAAAATAATAGAATGTAAATGTCTAATATCAAAGATGTTTATATTTCGAGAGATGTTGTCGTATAAATTGTAGTACCATAGATATGATCTCTTCACTCTTAATCAAAGACTTTAAATTGAGCATTTTCTTCTATAATGAGTCTTATACGACGCAAATCTAAATTAGTTTGGACCCCAAATATAAATATCAGACCGGATGGGAAACAAAAAAACATGCATAATATTACTAACCTTGTAGATATAAACAGTAATTGAATAAGGAAGACCATTTTGAGTTGAGATTGGGTATATAGCTGCACCAAGTGCTATTTCATGGCTAGTTTGTACAAAACCAGGGCATGTCAGGTCAAAGCAACCTGTTTCTTTTGAGCCATCAGTCTATCATTTGAACATCCAAACACACAGTAAGTTCACACAGAAAAAATTAAAACTTTTGCAAAGAATATATATATATATATATATTATAATTTTTACATTATTAGGTTACCAAGGCTTTTTACAAGTAAGCCTTTTTAAAATATGAGATTTGTAATCTTGAAAATAAAATAAATATTGTTATCAAAGATAAGGATGATTTTTGATAGTGTAAACATTATTTACACTGATAATGTATATTGCTTAATCTCATAACTTAAACCCTATATGTAATCTGTTTAAGTTAAATATGTATTGATGGTGTAAAAGACTATATACATTAATCAAGTCACTAAAAATAATTCTTTGTGATTATATTGTTTGGTAACCTTAAAAAAGTGATACTATTTCTTTGTAATAATGCTGTTAAAGTATAATGGAGTAATTGTCAAAATAATTAATATTAGGTTGAACTTAGGAATTTTCATAAGTAGAAAACTGAGATAATTTAAACAAAATGACTAAGAAATGGAGATATCTAAATATACTTACAGTCCAATAAGTGAAAAATCGCGTTTGCCTATCGCCATAAACCCTTGGATTAACCTAAAATGTTGAAATTAATCAACCATTTAGTAAATGCTACAAATTATTAATAAAGCGTGAGTTTAATTCTATGAAACTAAACTGATAGTGTAAAGAATCTTTACAATGCCAATGCATATAACTTGAGCACAACACCAGAAGCTATGTTGTGTGGACTCTCCAATAATCTTGCTATATCCGTGTCAAATCCGCCAAAATATGACAAATCCGACGATATTTTTGGAGATTCTTAGTAGCATAAACTAAAAATATGAACAATACTAGAAGCTATGTTGCGTGGACTCTCTAAAAATAATGTCATACCCGTGTTGAATCCGCCAAAATACATTATTTTTGGAGGATCCAACGTGCATCCGACGATATTTTTGGAGAGTCTTAGTAACATAAACTAGAAGTATGAACAAGACTAGCGAGAAGCTATGTTGCGTGGACTCTCTAAAAATGCGGCCTATAATCGGTGTAGAATCCGCCAAAGTACACTATTTTTGGAGGATCTAACGTGCATCCGACTGATATTATGGAGAGTACTCTTAGCAACATAAACTAGAAATATGAACAACACAAGAGAAGTTACATTGCGTGGACTCTCCAAAAAATGTTGTTGCACCCTTGTCGAATCCGTCAAAATACACTACTTTTGGAGATTTCGACACGTATATAACGATATTTTGAAGAGTCCGAACAACATATTAAGAAGGATAATAAAAATCAGAAGGTAAGAGAAACTAACTGCCCATCCAGATTCAATATCTTGATAGTCATAGTAAGCTCCACTCATAAGTGCAACTCGAGAAGTACTATACTCATCATCTCCTTCAACATGAGGATTCCACGTTATCATGTCTGTTTTTGCACCTAAATATCTATATCCTTCTGTATGTAGTATAGCCAACTTCATATTCATGTCAACAAAATGAAAAAGAAATAAAAAAGAGTAGGGTTAGATAGGAAGGAAAATTTTCTTTACAACATATACATAATCTAACTTATAATGTAAGAAAAATATTCAAATTTACTCTTTTTCTATACGAAATATATATATATATATATATATATATATATATATATATATATATATATATATATATATATATATA